CCCAAAAAAAAAAAAAAAACAACAAAATAAAACTGCAGTGAAAGATAGTTGAGAGTTCCTAATGCACAAAAACAGTATGTATTTCTAATATGTGACAGTTCCCTTGCTGTGTGGTTCTATTATTATGATTCAAAATATGTTGCTTGAATCATTGGCATCAGAATCTTCTGGGAGTGGGGAGTTTCCTAAGGAAAAAGATTTCTGGGCCTCACCCGAGGTCACCTGGATCGGAATCTCTATGGATAAAACCCAGAAATCTTTATCTGTAACAACGACCTCAGGTGATTCTTATGTGCCGTGTATATTGAGGTTTGAGAGCCACTCTGAATTGAACAAGTAAGGAAGGTGCATTGTAAACATCCTCATGTACAAGTGATAATGATACTAAGGTGAGAAGCATGAAACGTAGGTTATGACATAATTAAGATTTTTGAAACAAAAGCATAATATAAAATGGTCTTTGACTAATTAGCCTTCTAATTAGGGAGTAGGATACCTCTCTAGATCCCATATGGTCCATTCTCTTTAAGGGAAAACTAACCCTATTTTTACTTTTTAGGATCCTGAGCAGAGACCCACTGCAGATGAACTTTTGGATCGCCCCCTTCTGAAGAAATGCAGGAGGTAAAGTATGAAGAAGTCGATCAATTGTTTTTCCTGTGGTGGCTGACAATGTTAGAGTCCTGATCAGAGTACCACAAGGAAGGATGATGTTTCCTGACTTGGCCAGTTTAGTGCTGTTTTCTACCAACTTCTCTACTTTCATTGCTTGAGAGTAACTGACTTTCATCTCCTTAGACGTGCTGTTTTGTTCCAGATCTATAGTGATATGACCCAAGGGCCCTCCACTTCCCCATTTGTGGGTTTGAAATCCAGAGTTGAGGCATTAGAGTATAGTAATTAAGAGAATGGAGTGTCTGGACTTAAACAGCCTTGAGTTTGTATCTGAGTTCTGTCATTGTCAAGTTATTTAACGTCTCTGTTTCTTAGCTTTCTCTTCTCTAAAGTGAGTCACGGTGAGGATTAAAGGTAATGCATTAAACGTGTTCAGCCCAGGGCCTGGAACAAGATGCTGAACAGTTGTTGAATAGTACTGTGGATTGGACTGGGCCTTGGGTTTTAGCACATTTGTTCACGTGGTAGGTTGAGTAGGAGGATATATTTTGCCCATTTCTTGAAGTCATGCTGTGTTGCCTCTGGACAGGTTATTTCCTGTTTTATTCTGTGCTAGGGGTTCTCTAGAGATTGGAGGACATCCTTTGTGCCTCACTTTCTGTGGGAGGCTTCAAGCCTTAACTTAAAAGAAGAGATATTCTTTAGCTTTCTTAAATTTCTTAGTCTGTATTTCATTCTCTGAAACCATTTTTTCTTTACTACCCTCCTTACTCCCTACCAGCTTTTGTTTTTATAGCCTCCAGATATTCAAACATTTGCTATAGTTGTTCTAGGCCTTGCCCTTATATACATGAAGGACATACCTAATTCCATAATATTTGCTGTTTGATCATTACCTTTATTCTGTGGTGTCATTTAATTAATCTTTTCTGAGTCTTCTCCAGTTGATCTCTAGTCAGTCTTTTAGTGCCTGGAATAATGTGTGATACTCTAGGCATAACACTGTGACCTTTCAGTTATATGCTGTGCATATGCAGGCAATGTCACCCTTTTGGGCTAGTTAAGTACATTAAAAATTTTTATTTCCCAACAGTATACTCACTGTTTTAATTTCTTGTTGAAATATTTCAACTGATAATTTTTTATTAAAATTTTTATTGAGATAATTACAGATTTGCCTGTGATACCTTCTTGGAACTCTGTACTTTGGTGGAAAAATATAAGACAAAGAGTTTTCCACACAGAAAAAATAGCATAAGCAAAAGCACAGATATAGGAAGTTGTAGGAAATATTCAGGAAACACAAAATACTACTTGACTAGATGAGTGGTTCTAGACCTGGGACCATCAGTGCAAAATTTCAGGAGCTTTTAACAAATACTGGTGCCTGAGCACTGCCCAAGTGGTTCAGCTATAGATGATTTAGGTAGAATAACAACCCTGCTCTAGAACATGGCGGGTAATTGAGGGAAGGAAGGCTGGAAAGATGGGTAGGGAATCTTGCATGCCAGGCCAAGGAATTTGTGTTTAATTTAAGGAGAAGTGTTGGATGTTTCATGTGATGAGAGGCATACCTAAGGAAGAGTTATTCAGCAATGTTAGTATTTGTGTTAAATTAGTGTAGTAAAAAAATCTTACTTAGAACTGCAGCTAAGTAAGACTGATTAGGAGGTGCTATCATAGTAGAGGTGGGAGGTGGAACTGCCCAGAACTAAGGTGCTGAGACCGAAAGGAAGAGGTAAGTGTAAAAAGTCATCTGTATAGGTAGAATCTGTAGAACTTGAATATTGAAGAAAGGGAGAGAAATGAGTCAGAGATGTCAGGTTTTAAACTCAGTTGATTAGGAGGAATGGAGAGAGAGATTGCTGTAGGGGAGTCAGGAAAAAAAGTCAACTTGGGAAGAAGATAATGAGCTCAGATTTGGAGATGTGGAGTTTTGGGAGTGAGTGGATAGACTAGCGGGATCTGTCCATCAGGTACTTAAATGCTTCTATTAGAGGTCCTGGAGCATCTCTCTTCCAACCTGGACCATCTCTCAAAGATAGAAGGCAAGTGACCCCAAGCTGCTGGCCCTCTAATATTTAATGAATTGTCTCACACCAGGCCTATGTAACTGTTTGGGTCGTATTCAGATACTTTCCTAAAAGTATTGTAACGTTGTAGGATGCATACAGTTTATAAGAGGATTCAATCTGTGAAATATGTTAAAGAGACATCTTTGCAGTATAGAACCCTGTTATTTCACTCATGTGTCTTTTCTTTTGGTAGAGAAATGGAGGAAAAAGTCACTCTGCTTAATGCACCTACAAAGAGACCAAGGTAATGCTAGGAGACTTGTTAAAACTAATATATCCTAAATTACCACCAGGGATCTCTCTTGGGCTAATGCATTATTTGATCTCAGGAGCCTTTGGCATCCTTCCAGGAGCCAGCATCTGCTTAAATGTCAGGTAGTCATTTCTAAGAAGAAGAAAGCCATAATTTCGCCCTCACACTGAAGTGGCCATCATTCCCATGATGAATGTCAAAAACGTAGGTGTTATGGATCAGACGGAATCTGGTCTGGCCGAGCTGTGATGAAGTCCTGAGGCAGGAATTAAAAAGCCTGCTATGATAGAGGGTTGAAATAAGCTGTCGAGAAAGAACATACTGTCTCATACCACAATTGGCAGTTCTCAGGGAACAAACTGAAAGCATTTCTCTTTGATATTGTTTTCACATTAAATGTGCCTTTGTTCTGGGGGTTGTTGACAGGTCAAGCACTGTATCTGAAGCACCAATTGCTGTGGTAACATCACGAACCAGTGAAGTCTATGTTTGGGGTGGTGGAAAATCCACCCCCCAGAAACTGGATGTCATCAAGAGTGGCTGTAGTGCTCGTCAGGTGTGTGCAGGAAATACCCACTTTGCTGTGGTCACAGTGGAGAAGGAGCTGTACACCTGGGTGGTAAGTGAAAGTCAAGCCCTTTGTAACAGTGCAGCCTGGATGTTTCCTGGGCCCAGGGTGTCTAAGCATTTTGTTAGCTGAACCTGTGTTCAAGGAGCAGCAGCATGGGGTAAGGGAATGGAAGCTCTTATGGGAACAGGATTTCGTCTGGTTAGGTCACTGATGTATCCCCAGTGCCTGGTACATAATTAGATCACGTATAAAGATTTTTGAAAGAAAGAAGGAGAGAAAGAAGACTTAGGAGACTTGACTTTCCATCTATAGCGAGATAATTTCAAACAAGTCACTCAATTATTCTGTTCCCATGAGGTTCAGAGGAACCAGTATGTGTAAAATAGCCTTGTAAACAAATGAGGTGCTATACCCTGTCAGGAAACCTCTGAGACCTGCCCCAGTGATTGTAGATGGCTAGGTATATTTTGTATAGAATTTCCCTTTGTTGCTCTCTGAATTTCCCCCTCTCAACAGATTGTTTTGGTTTTACTGTCTTTTTCCCAGTCTCCCTCCTCACTCACAATGCAGTTTCTATCTCTGCCACACAGCTGAAACTGGTCTTAACAAGAAGACCTATAAATTGCTAAAATAAAACAGATTTTTTTTTTCTTTTGAGTTTGGGTCTCACTCTGTCACCCAGACTGGAATGTGGTGGCATCATCATGGCTTACCACAACCTCAACCTCCCGGGCTCAGGCGATCCTTTTACCTCAGCTACCCAAGTAGCTGGGACTATAGATGCGCACCACCCCACTGGACTAAATTTTTTTATTTTTTATTTTTCTTGTAGCGATAGGTCTCGCTATGTTACCTAGCCCAGACTTGAACTCCTGGGCTCAAGTGGTCCTCCTGCCTTGGCCTTCCAAAGTGTTAGGATTACAGGCATGAGCTACCGTACCCAGCCTAAACAGATGTGTTTACCTAGTCGACCTCTCAGCAGCATTTAGTGTTAGTGACCACTCCCTTCTTGAAGCTTTGTCTTTCGCTTGACTTCTACAATAGCCATGTTCTTTTGGCTTTCCACTCGTCTCTTTGGCTGTGCCTCTCAGACTCACTTCAGGTACTTTTTCTTTACTTGACCTTGTCTTAGGTCCTTGGTTCCTCTCTTTGAGGGAGTTCATCTTTCCAGAGGTTTCAGTTACCTTATTTGTGAAGACAAGGACTATATATATCTTATTTACTGCTTTATCCCAGTGTGTAAGAGAGTGAACACTTAACTATTGATTGATTGAAAGAAAGAATGGGCCCAGCACAGTGGGTCATGCCTATATTCCCAGCACTTTGGGAGGCTGAGATGGGAGGATTGCTTGAGCCCAGGAGTTTGAGACCAGCCTGGGCAACAAAGCAAGACCCTATCTCTTAAAAAAAAGAAAGAAAGAAAGAAGGATTTGGCCTTTGTAATAGTTTTGACTTGCAGTTATTTCATAAAACTCTCCCTGGGGAACTGCCAGAAGTGGAATGAAGTAAGTGTCTTAAAAAACATTTACAGGCAGGGCTCAGTGGCTCAGCCTGTAATCCCAGCACTTTGGGAGGCCAAGGCTAGTGGACTGCCTGAGCCCGTGGGTTCGAGACCAGCCCGGGCAACTTGGCGAGACCTCGTCTCTACAATAAATCAAAAATTAGCCGGGCATGGTAGCACACACCTGTAGTTCCGGCTACTTGGAAGGCTGAGGTAGAAGGATCGCCGGAGCCCAGCAGGTTAATGCTGGGGTGGCCATGAGCATGCCACTGCACTCCAGCCCGGGCGATGGAGTGAGACTCCAACTCAAAAAAAATTTTTTTTTTTACATAAAGACTGGGTGTGGTGGCTAACCTGTAATCCTAGCACTTTGGGAGGCTGAGGCGAGAAGATCACTTGAGGCCAGGAGTTCAAGACCCTGTCTCAAAAGAAAAAAAAAAAACAAACCATTTACATAAGGACGTGTTGAATCATTGAGTGGAAGGAATTGTTTATCTGTGTAAAACTGTTGAAAAATCATTGAGAACTATCTGGGTGCTATATAGCAGCCTCTTTGATTTTGCCAGATTCTTTATAACTGTTCCATGTTTCAGGGATACTGTGACCAAAATTTATAAAACTTCTAGTACAAATTTCCAAGAGGCTGTACTCCTATAGAAAGCAATCAGATTAGACTCATTAAAGAGGTTTTTTTTACCATCACCCACAATTAAATCTGTAGGTCACCTTAGACTTGAAGGACAAAGGTAAGATTTCAGCCTGGATACTTTTGTAATCTATTTTGTCTGTTGGCAGGGGTTTTATACTACCTACCATTAAAATGTTTAATCCCTTACCCAGTTTTTTTCTAATTTCTAAATTTCCAGCTTTTTTTTCCCAGTGTTTTTCTTCATATGAAGTTATATTTAAGATTAGCTTTTGGCATGAAAAATTAAAGCCTTACCAGATCTCTTTATTTCATAGAACATGCAGGGGGGTACTAAACTCCATGGTCAGCTGGGTCATGGAGACAAAGCCTCCTATCGACAGCCAAAGCATGTGGAAAAGTTGCAAGGCAGAGCTATCCATCAGGTATCCTGTGGGGATGACTTCACTGTCTGTGTGACAGGTACGCCATCAGCAGAAAGTGCCTAAATGCATTTAATGTGGGATGTTATGCATAATGAAGTTCAGTTTTTGTTGAGGTTTTGCAACAAAAGATAGTATTCAAAGAACCAAAAGACATTGAACAAATATATTCATGAATTTGCTATATAGCATTAGGGGATGGTGAGCAGGGAGAAGGCAGGTAGGTACCAGAGAAGAGGTGGATCAGGAGAAAATATGTTATGTGTCCCTATAAACTTGCAACCATGTAGCACAGAATTATAATCAAGACCTAAATTTAACCCTTTGCACTTGGATTTCCCCTCTGAGGGGACATCGGAATCAGGGGACACAAAGAGATTGCTGGTGATGATACAGGACAAACTTATGCAAGCACGAATTTTTCAAAGCTGTATGTTTCCTTGAAGTTTTCCATTCAGATTGCATGAATGGAATTTATACTGAGATATGCTTAATCAGTTGAAAAGTAGTTTTCATGAATCACAAGTTTGTCCTTCAACATTGTCTTCAAACAACAGACTGGACAATAAATTACATATTATTAATGTGGGAGGAAGAAAACAAGACTGCATTGTCTGCTCAAATAGAAAAATACCAGGTGGAAAACCTCATACAAATTACTGTTGTATATAACATGTATCAATGAACCTGCAATGCATGTCAGTGACTGTTTCACATGTTACCACGTTAGAAAAAATAAGACATAAAATTTTGATTTTTTTGTCATAAATAGTTCCTCAATTTCCAAAATTCCATTATAAGCCAAATATCATTACAATAAAATAATTGGTTCCAACGCTATACTATTTAATATGAAGTGATTTGGCTGGGTGCAGTGGCTCAAGCCTGTAATCCCAGCACTTTTGGAAGCCAAGGCAAGAGGATTGCCTGAGGCCAGGGGTTCGAGACCAGCTTGGACAACTTGGTGAGACCTCATCTCTACAATTTAAAAAAAATAAAAAATTAGCCAGGTGTGGTAGCATATGCCTGTAGTTCCAGCTACTTGGAAGGCTGAGGCAGAAGGATTACCAGAGCCCAGCAGGTCAAGGCTAAGGTGGCCATGAGCATGGCACTGCACTCTAGCCTGGGTGACAGAGTGAGACTCCGACTCAAAAATAGAAAAAAAAAAAGTGATTCATTTTGTACTATTTCGTAAAAAAGTGTGGTTGAGTTGCTGGTAGGTGATCTGCGAGATGTCTCCAAGTGCAAAGGGTTAATTTTGGTCTTGTTATTACTCACTTTATGATTCCTGAATACTTCTTTTTTTCAACCTATAAAATAGAGTTGACCCCAGTAAAATTTCAAGTCCTTTAAACAAGATAGTGCTACCACTTTATGTGACCCTGTGAATAGAAATAAGTCTAGACTTGCACAGTCTGTCCTTTGGATTTCTCACATCGTTTCATGTGAGATCTTTGGTTAGGGAGTCCTCATTGCCAGCCCTGCCCAGCTTTCTGATTGGATAGTGTAAGTCAGTCCTTTGATGGGTTCTGTTTTCCTTCCTTTGACAGATGAAGGTCAGCTCTATGCCTTTGGATCAGATTATTATGGCTGCATGGGAGTGGACAAGGTTGTGGGCCCTGAAGTGCTTGAACCCATGCAGCTGAACTTCTTCTTCAGCAATCCAGTGGAGCAGGTCTCCTGTGGAGATAATCATGTGGTGGTTCTGACACGAAACAAGGAAGTCTATTCTTGGGGCTGTGGCGAATATGGTAGGGGTAGCCTGGTCTCTGTCCACTTCTTCTCAGGTGTACTACCTGACTTCAAGCTTGTGTGCATCTAAGCACATCATGCAGCCTCTAAATGAGAAGTGTTGATTTAATCAAAGAGAGTCTTAATAGAATATCTTAATTGGGAAGGAGACCCTCATTACAATGATTTTCATTCTTATGTGTTTTTCAGGACGGCTGGGTTTGGATTCAGAGGAGGATTATTACACACCACAAAAGGTAAAATCAGAAGCAGCTTCTTCCTAAAGCCTATCTAAGTCACACAGATTCCAATAATATGTCCTCTTTTCCTTTTTTTTTTTGAGTTGGAGTCTCACTCTGTCGCCCAGACTGGAGTGCAGTGGCCACTCCCAGCCACCGCAGCCTCGACCTGCTGGGCTCCGGCGATCCTTCCGCCTCAGCCTTCCAAGTAGCTGGAACTTCAGGCATGCTGCCACACCCAGCTAATTTTTTGATTTATTGTAGAGATGAGGTCTCACCAAGTTGATATGTCCTCTTTTCTTGACTCTTCATATCAGGGTATTTCTGAAATATTTCCTGTGTGGGAGACTGACAATCTAGGGTTCCGGACTTAGCACCATGTGGTCTTGTCATCTGACTAAATCATAAAAAGTTAGGAAAGTAGGTACAGTGACTGTGGACACTGTGGAGTCACATCTTACTCAGGAATGAGAGCTAAAATCAGTGTGTGTGGCACAAAAGTCACATATAGCTGCTTATACACTGGAAAACTCGGGAACGGATTGGAATGCAATATAAAGTCTCTTAACCTAGCACAGCCATTTTCCTCTCCTATTTCTACAGTTTAACACTAGATGACATAGTTGGTCATGTTGTATGAAACATAATATGTTTCATGGTGGCATACCTGTAGCCTCATATCAACTCTCATCGGTGCCAAAGCTGGCACTTTGAGAGGCTCACAGGAGTTAAAACCAGCTGAATGAAAAATATGGTTTCTTACACCTACCCTAGAGCATAGACTTACCCACTGGAAAGCTGACTAAATCAGCTATACCATTTAATTTCTTTCACATTGAGGATGTGGGGACCATCCTCAATGTGGCTCAATGGCTGTTCCTCTTCTGAAAAGGCTATAGTGGAAACTGAGGGTGGAGGTTTCCAGTTTTGTACACATCGATCGTGGCCCCACCCATCCATCACCCCCACCATCCTCCAGCCTTGTCTAGTTAGTTGTGGAAGGATGTGAGAATTTGGAGTCCTAGCTGTTACCTTAGTACTCTATCACCCCTCTTATAAAATGACCAGATTGGGACCCCACACTACTATTGAGTTTCTTCTGTAACTGTCAGGCAGCCTTTCATCTCAGAGGACAAAGGCAGCAATGGCTTGAAACTTTTCCTTTCCCAGTTTTTTCTGAGAAGTCTCCCTAAATGGGACCTAGTGCTAAAACAAACCGATAGGGGCTGTCTGTTTGTTGACCTGGAATGGCCACCTTTTTCTTTATTTTGTAAAACTTGAAAATAGTAGCCTCAAAGCCAAAGCAGATCTGAAGAGAATAGAGCAAGCCTTACTTTCCTATAGTTTCTGCTAAATGCAGCATGTCAGGTTTTTTTTTTTTTTTCTGAGTTGGAGTCTCACTCTGCTGCCCAGACTGGAGTGCAGTGGCACACTCCTGGCCACCGCAGCCTCAACCTGCTGGGCTCCGGCGATCCTTCTACCTCAGCCTTCCAAGTAGCCGGAACTACAGGCGTGTGCTACCACACCCAGCTAATTTTTTTTTTTGAGTTGGAGTCTTCTTACTCAGTCGCCCAGACTGGAGTGCAATGACCGCTCCCAGCCACTGCAGCCTTGACCTGCTGGGCTCCAGCTGTCCTTCTGCATCAGCCTTCCAAGTAGCTGGAACTACAGGCGCGCACAACCACACCTAGCTAATTTGTTTGATTTATTGTAGAGATGAGGTCTTGCCAAGTTGCCCAGGCAGGTCTCGAACCCACGGGCTCAGGCAATTCACTCATCTCGGCCTCCCAAAGCACGGGATTACAGGCTGAGCCACCGAGTTCGACCTTTTTTTTTTTTTAATTGTAGAAATGAGGTCTGACCAAGTTGCCCGGGTGGGTCTCAAACCTACAGGCTCAGGCAATCCACTCACCTCAGCCTCCCAAAGTACTGGGATTACAGGCTGAGCCATCAAGCCTGGCCCAGCATGTCACTTTTGAAAAAACTGGAGGACTTTTTTTCTAATGCAAGTTATTTATTTAGTAAAAGGCAAAAAAATTATACAATCTGAAGAGAAACTAGAGTATATATTTGGGATTTCTTTTTCTGGTTTATGTTTTTCTTGCAGGTGGATGTTCCCAAGGCCTTGATTATTGTTGCAGTTCAATGTGGCTGTGATGGGACGTTTCTGTTGACCCAGTCAGGCAAAGTGCTGGCCTGTGGACTTAATGAGTTCAATAAACTGGGTCTGAATCAGTGCATGTCTGGAATCATCAACCATGAAGTGAGTGCTCTCTTTGGTGTTCTTACTACATTGTCAGAACTCCATCTCAATTTCTTTGGGATGCTATTATTGATTAGTGACCACTAAGTTTGACTTAAGATTAAATTATGATCCCACAGACATTGTGTTTAGCAAAAGAAGCCAGCCTCAAAAGAGTACATGGTATATGACTTCAAGTATGTAAAGTTCAAGAACAGGCAGAATTAACTTATGATGGCAGAAGTCAAAATTGTGACCACCTCTGGGTATGGTTGTTAACAGAAGAGATAGGTGGGATCCTGGAGTGATGGGAATGGTCTGTATCGTGATCTGCCAGAAGCTGTTCAAGTATATACATGTAGAAAAGTGTATCAGCCGGGCTCAGTGGCTCAGCCTGTAATCCTGTGCCTTGGGAGGCTGAGGTGAGTGGATTGCCTGAGCCCGCGGTTCGAGACCCGCCTGGGCAACTTGGTGAGACCTCATCTCTACAATAAAGCAAAAAATTAGCCGGGTGTGGTAGCGCGCACCTGTAATTCCAGCTACTTGGAAGGCTGCGGTGGAAGGATCACCAGAGCCCAGCAGGTCGAGGCTTCAGTGGCCGGGAGCGGCCACTGCACTCCAGTCTGGGCGACAGAGTGAGACTCCAACTCAAAAAAAAAAAAAACACATATCAAGCTCTGTGATATTTTGCAGTATGTTAATATATTAATTACAAAATTATAAATACGTTTATAAATAAATCACAAAATTATAAAATGATGGCATCCAGGTTCTACCTTATCATTGAAGTAGGAACTAGAATTTATTTTTATTTTTTATTTTTTTAATGGAAGGCTTCACAGATTTTCATGTCATCCTTGCACAGGGTCCATACTAATCTTCTCTGTATCATTCCAATCTTAGTGTGTATGCTGCTAAAGTGAGCACAGAGCAAGAGAATTCACATTATGAAAAAGAAACATATTTCCATGTCATCTCCCCAGAAGTTTTTAGATGTGTTGCTCCCAAATCACTGATCCTAGATAGTATTATTAATTGTAATTACCATTCACTCCTATCAAGGATATCATGAAATTCGCCACTGACATTGTCTTAGGTTCCTCTTTGTGTTCGTATGGTGAGTTTTTGTCATTTTCTAAGGAATCAAGTTAAGAGACAAGTTTTCTGACTAAATGAAAAAGAATCGGCTGGGCTCGGTGGCTCAGCCTGTAATCCCAGCACTTTGGGAGGCCGAGGCGA